AAGTTCAGCTGCAGTGAAGATGGGCCCAGAAGCTCGAAGAGCACGTCAAGATGGCAGGACCCCGGGGGGGGGGAGGCTAGGGTTCATCAGCAGATCAGAGGACAGTGCCCAGAGGAGGGCAGCACTCTCTGGAAGGCAGGTGGGCAGGCTTCACAAGCTCCATCTTACCCAAAGGATCACAGTCAACCAGTGGGAGGAGCCATGCTGCTCTTCCCACTTGGCTATTATGAGGCATTGGGTCAGGATGAAGAACATCTTTGTTTACATATTTCATAAATTTTCACAGGCAAAATAATAACTTTTTTATTTTCTTTTCCTAAGTAGTTGCCCAAATTCACAACACTAAGTTTTGGAATGCGTGGGCTGTTATTTGTTTAAAGCGTATTTGCAGAGTTCCAAGACGTGGAGGCATTGGAGGTAGCATAAATTTTAGAGAAGAGACAATCATTGTCCTCACGAAGTTCATAGCTGGAAGGGGACTCAAGCAAAATTGAGGAGGATGATGATGGTGATGAGGATGAAGAAAATGATGATGCTAATAATGAGGATGATGATGATGATGAAAGACATATTAAGCCTGTTCCGTTTTGTTAGAAGTAGGAGTAAAGGAGAAAGTTGAAGGGAAGTCAATCTAGACTTGTAGGAGGGTGGTGGGGTAGAATAAAAAAAATAAAAATGATTTCCTAAGCATTTGAATTGCCCAAGAATGGCATGGGTTACCTGGGGAGATCATGAGTTCCCCTCAATAGAGTTCTTCAATTTCAATTATTTTTATTTGCTTTACATGCATTTATGTTCATTTGCCCATGTTCCTTTTATTCTGATTTTGTAGGATTTTAGGTCCTTGAGGGCAGGGTCTGTCTTGGTTTTTTTTGGGGGGGTTGTTTGTTTTTATTTATTGTTTTATTTTTATCACTATAACCTAGCAAAGTTCCTAGCACACAGTAGCACACACAATAGATGCTTGTTGAATGAATAACTGAAAGAAAATACTTTAATACCATCAATGGGTCTGTATCCTAAAGAGATTCAAAAAAACAGAAAATGACTTATATGTACAAAAATATTTATAGTAGCTCTCTTTGTGGTGGCAAAAAAATTGAAAATTAAGGGGATGCCCATCAACTGGGGAATGGCCTTCCTCTCAAATTACCTTGTATTTATTTTGTGATGATGTATATATGTTGTATACCTCTATAGATTTTAAGTTTTTTAAGGACGATTTCTTATTCTTACTATCATTATTTTGTTTCTGTATCCTGAACATCTGGCAGAGAGTCTAAAATACTTCAGACCCTTAAAATGTTGATTGATTGATTAACCACAAATTATTTATCGGAAGGATTCTTGTTCAGGTCTAACTGAACAGGACAAAGTGACTTCTTCCAGCTATGAAATTCCATAATCCTGTGACTGTGCACAATATTATGTCCTTTTACCCTCCTCCTAAGCCCCATTTTTTATGCTCCACACTTGAACAGAAGCTCAAGGAATATTCACATACTTTGACATTAGATTTTGTAATGAATCACTAAAAAGTTAAAAACATTGCAAAAAATCATCATTATCCTTGCAATGGATTTCCCAGCTCAGCATAGATTATTGTGTCCCTCTTCCCTTGTTGGGATCCTCCAGTGTGGGTAATGGAGGGTAGTTTTGCCTTCCCAGCTGTGCCTCGAGTAAATAACTTGTGAGTGTTTGCACAGCTGTCTGTCTGTCAGTGTGTCCTCTCTAAGGCTGCCCTTGTTGACACTGGCCATTCTAGGTGGTTTGCTCCTGGAAGGCCGTGATCACGTCTGTTCCCCACTCCTTGGATGCACAGTCTAGAAAGAGGCATTCATCTGAGAAAGCTTTCGCCTATGCTAATTCAATTCAATCAAGACAAATGAAGCACCCACTCTGGGAAAGTCCTTGTACTTTGGTGAGGTTAAAACCCTTCCTGGAAATTGCAAAGAAAGAAAGAAAGAATAATAAGACATAGATTGAGGGCTATGCAGCTAGTAAGTGTTAGAGGCAGAAGCAAACTGAAGCCTGCTGAGCCCTAACTCCGTGACACCTCAGGCCTTCTCCTCCTGAGCACTTCTGATTTAACGATTAACCTCCCACTAGTTTCCCTGCTCAAAAACCTTCTGTGGCTCCCTACTGCTTCCAGGATAACATGCAGACTCCCATTTCACATTTAAGCTCTTTCCCCAGGCTAATTTCCCATGTTCCCTCTATATTCCATCCAGATTGTCCTACTTGCCATGTCTTGCTTATGATGCTCTATCTGCTACTTCCATTCCTTTTTTAAAAAATTAATTCATTTTGCTTTATCAACAATCACTTCCATACGCTTTTCAGTTTAACATTTTTCTCCCCCTTCCTCCCCACCTCCTCCCCGAGACAGTGCGCAATCTGATATAGGCCATACATATACATTTCTCTTAAACATACTTTCATATTAGTGATGTTGTAAGTAAGAATTAGAACCAATAGGAGGAACCACCCGAAAAAGGAAACAAAACGCAACAGAAGAAAAAAAGTATATAGCAAACAGCATGATTCTATCTGCATTCAAACTCCATAGTTCTTTCTTTGGATGCAGATAGCATCTTCCATCACGAGGCCTTTGGAGATGTCTTAGATCCTTGAATTGCTGAAAAGGGTCAAGCCTATCAATATTAGCCATTGCACGACGTGGCTGTTACTGTGTATAATGTTCTCCTGGTTCTGCTCACTTCACTCAGCATCAGTCTATACAAGTCTTTCCAGGTTTTTCTGAAGTTAGCCTGTTCATCATTTCTTATAGCACAACAGTATTCCCACTTTCACTCCTTTTGCCAGGCTGTTCTCCATAGCTGATGTGCCATCCCTCCTCACCTATGACTCTTAGAATCCCTAGCTCTGTTTCAGGGCATCTTCCTAGATAAGACTTTTCCTAAGTCACTTGCCCCACCCCAACATCTGGCTTGGCACTCCTTCAGCTCCATGAAATTACTCTGTGTGTCTGTATCTGTGTGTATGTTTATTTCCTTTTCTGTATCCGTGCTATTCCTTCAATAGACAATAAACTTCTGGACGATGAAAATTGTTTTGTTTCTGCCTTTGTGTCTATGGTACCCAGGACAGTGCTTGGAAATTTCTAGGCATTGCATAGACACTTGCCAAATTGAAATTTAAAAAGAGCAAGGCCACCTTCTTTCTTCTGACCGCCTTCTAAGTTCACCATTGACAAACCACATGAGCCAGTGGTGGTCAGGACTCTGGATGTTTTATTCTTTTTTTTTCCTTTTTAGGCAATTAGGGTTAAATGACTTGCCCAGAGTCACACAGCTAGTTTCAAGCGTTTGGTCTGAGGCTGGATTTGAACTCAGGTCCCCCTGACTTCAGAGCCAGTGCTCTATCCACTGTGCCACCTAGCTGCCCCCTCTGGATTTTTAAAATCAGGTCCTGGATGTCATTGTCATCCAGGGTCTTTTGAGCTTGATCTTGTCCAACAGTCTTTGAGAAAACCTCTTCACGAGGGCCAGGAGGACATGTTGCTCAGGGCTGCAGCTCATACCTTCCCCTGGCTACCCTTTCTACTTTTCTGAATTATTCTTCAATGATGATAAACAATGACTGGCAATCCCCCCTGAAGGATCTCATCCATACCCTGAGAGGAGCAGTTGGAGGAATGAGGGGAAAATGGGTCCCATCATGTACACATAAAGCACATCAGAGCTTTTGTATGTGGCCACACTTAAACAAGGCAGTCAATTCCCACATGAACTCTGAGAAGGACATCAAGGCCTCCTGCGATGGAGGGTGTAGCTCCCTCATGTTCATCACAGGTAGAGTGGCCACCCACCATTATAAGAATTCATGCTGACATAGTGCTTTAAGATTGGCAAAGTGTTTAACAGAACGTATCTTATTTGAGCCCTCCCAACGATCCTGTGAGTAAGGGGCTATTATTATCCACATTTTACTTGGGAAGAAACTGAGGTCAAAAGACATGAAGTGACTTGGCCAATAGCACACAGGTAGTTAATTACAGGTAATATTTGAACCCTGGTTCCCTCCAAGTCCAATGCTATATCCATTCACAACATTTGAAAAAAACTAATCTTCATCTGATTCCATCAGGGATTTAAAAAAATAAAAGATGAGTGAATGTAGGTCCTAAAATATGTGATCCTACATATATACACCCCCCACATATACAATTAGTAACCAGTCTCAATCAGTTGTTACATCTTGGTTTATGAAGTCCACATCCCAGTGTACCCCCAAAGGCACTCCCACAACAACATAATTGAGCTGGGTCCCAGAGACCTCCCCTTTCATGCACATGGCTCACCTTGAAAGGGCTCAGCTAAAATACCAAATAAAACCTCAGGCTCTGTCAGGTCTGTGGTTTTTATAAATTGTTTAGACTGGAGAAACTGTGCGGGCTTGTGCATTGTTCTTTTTAGATGATGGAGAAAAGAAGTGACCATAAAAGCAAAAAACAATAAAGCTCAGTCCCTGTTTGATGTTGTTTCATGGAAAAACATCCTCTGGACCATTACTCTCTTCATCAACAATCCCCCTGTCCCTGGATGGCCAAGCTGCCTGCTATTTACCTTTGCTCTCTCTGGGTGGCATTCTGTGGTTATATATACAACTCAATAATCATATTTTTAAAATGCCTTCAAAAGTGAATTCCAGAATTGCCTGCCAGATATGTATACACTCTGGATAATTTTAACCTGGACCATCACTTTCTAATCATTTCTGTGTTCAAAAAGAATAAAAAGAAAAGTGAGCATTCCAAGGGCACAGCTCTCTCCAGCAAGCTTCAGGCTCTGAGCAGAGCCATCAGCCAACCCCTGCAGAGAGTTCTTGAGGTGGCCACACCTTGGTGTCCATACTGTTGGCCACAGCTCCCCAAGCCCTCCCCGACCACACCACACTCTCCACAAGCCCCAAATGCAAACACCTCCCTTTCAGCTTCTCCTCTGGATTTCCCACACGTAATGTAACCCAGACCTCACCTTCAGCTCTCCTGAGACCACTTTGGAAGCCAGCTCGATGACACAGCCAACAGCCATGCGTGCAGCAGCAGCCGAGTGCAGCTCGTTCCAAATGGTGTCACTGTCCACCTGAGCAAACAGTCGGGAGAGAGGGAGAGGGGAGGGGGAGGGGGAGGGAGAAGGAGAGGGGGGGAGGAAAAGAGAGAGAGAGAGAGAGAGAGAGAGAGAGAGAGAGAGAGAGAGAGAGAGAGAGAGAGAGAAAGAGGCAGAGGAAGACGACAGGGGAAAGGGAGGGAGAACATAAGAGAAAACAAATCGGTGAGGGAGGGCTGGCAGCTTGACAGCCAACACACAATAACATTAGTCTTCCGTCTTGGCCAGCTGAAAGGGCCTTCTGGACATGGCTTTGCTTAGACTTTTTCTCTACACTGGCTTCTCCAGTGGAAACACATTCCAGTCATGCCTCACTGCTATTCCCTGTTTAGATTTCTCATTACAAATAGCATTACAGAGGCCAGATCTGGCCTCGTTACAGGACCCTTAGACACCAGTCCCCCAGTAGAAGACATGCTGAAAGTTAAGGGCCCTTAGCTATACATAAAAATGGGATTTGCAAGTGGCAAGGGGAAAAAATTCAAATATGTCTCTGGCTGTAGGTTTATGGGAAGCCAAAGACAATTATTCGGAAGGTTCCCCAGTAGCTAGCAGTCAGGAGGAAACAGCCATTTCATTACACATTACGCGCACCCTAGCCAAATGAAAGGAATGTGCTGTCCTGAGAGGCCACTTCAAAGGTCAGGACAGCAGAACCATGCGGTGGACAGACAGACAGACTGCATTCTCTAAGTGGAGGTTGGCGGGATACGGGCTGGTAGGTGCCAGCGTTCACAGGAAACTCCAAATACAGTCAGATGCCTACTAAAATTCCTCCTCGTTCCTATGCCTGAGAACATTATCCAAACAAAGCATTTAGCAATATTTCTTCCAAATTAGGTTTTGCAAAAGTGTTGTTCAATTGACCTCCATTTTTAGCCATCAAAGTGAAGCACCTGCCTTAACCTTGGCATAGAAAAAACAACAGCCTAGGACTTCGAAAACCATTGGGCACTGACCAGAGGTGAATGAATCCTGGAGAAGTAAGACTGGATAGAGCAGGGTTCATGAAGCTACATGGAGCAGGCATTCTTAAACAAGCCATGGAGGAAATATGCATAAAACACAAACATGGAAAGTTTATTGATATCTGTAGCAGTGAAGGAAGAAGCAGGCCTTCAGGATTACAATTTCTCACATTTATGAAGTCTTTATGAGAATGAAAGTGCCCTATAACTAGGAAAATTGCTCCAGGCTCATTGTCCTCTAGAAATCACCGCAATACATAGGAATTCAAAGGCACAAAACATAAATGAACTCAAATACGAAGGCACTCAAATGACTGAAATGGCTGCATGGTAGCAAAGTGTCTCTAAACCTTACACACACACACACACACACACACACACACACACACACACACACACACACCCTCCTTCCCTTAGCCAAAATAACCTTTCAACCAGCAATAAGGCATTCTTCTGTCAGGTCCTTACTGTGTTAGGCTGTGCTAGTGGGTGTAGGAATCTAAGTTGACAGCCATTCAGCCATCTCGTTGGTCAGAGCAAGATTATTCCTTCTTAATTTTGTGCATCTGGTGAATCCTCAGGAGGTATGGCCAAAGTCGATACCAGATGTTTCTCATTCTATTGTCAAGACATCCCCAAAAGAATATTTTTGCATATGGTCATCTCGGTGACACTGCGCCGGCCTTATCCATGTGCTTTCTGGACTTGATACAACAGAGGCTCCGGGCCTCCACATGTATAACAGCGGAAGACAGAATCACAGTCTGGGTCCTCAAGGAGCTTATACTCACTCTTCTAGGCTTTTTGTCCCCTGCTTGTTGAATGATGGCTAATATAATGAAATGGAAATTTTTAAACGGTCAAAAGTTAGAGACTTTTTTTTTCAGTAGCAATGGTAATATTGAAACAAGTAGATACAGACCAGGGTTATTAATTTTGTTTTTTAAATGACCTATAGTATATTTATTATTAGGCATTAACACAGTTAATGTATAGTTAAGTATTATGGACAAAGATTCACAGGCAGTTTCTGCCAATTAAAAGCCAGTGGTTAAACTTAAAAAGTGGCTCAGCGGCTGATGAGAGGAGGCCAAACAGAGCTTGATTCCATGGAGGGCGTGTAAAGAGCTGGCTGCCTTAGAGGAGCTGTGATTCATTGTCAGGACTGTTGGTGGAATCAAAAATGTGACCACAGCTTAAGAGTGTACCCACCCTACAAAATGGTTGCCTCTTTTGAAACATGAGAATGGGATTCCTAGCAGTTGAGTACAGGATATTTCTGTTTGCCAAAACCATTGCTTTCACAGTTTCCTTTTCTACTGTGAGTTAGGAACAGAACTGTAACAAGGCTATCACAAGGTATCACCAGGGCTGGGCTGACTGAGGGAGTAAGAAAGTATTTCCTGTGTGAACATCCATGGTGGGAGGCCTTCCTGTCCTTCATGAACCTAATGTTCCTTTAGACATAGGTCCAAGCCCTCAAGCCATATTTCTTTTAAGCTTTTTTTTCTTCCTTTTGGCCCCTTCCCACCTTTCACTGCAGACTCATAGCAAGAAAGCCTAGCATTCAAATGGGTCATCCCAAATTGAAATGTGTGTCGCTATGATTACAACCCAAATGAATCACCTCTCTTCAACCACATGTCAACGTTTAGCCAAATGAGACAGTATCGGAAAATGGATAGGATGCTGGACTTGGAATAGGGGAGACCTTGACTCAAATCCCGCATTGGACACTTGCTAACTCTGTGTCACTTGACAAGTCATGAGATTCTTTTGTGCCTCAGTTTCCTCATCTGTAAAATCAGGTGGTTTGATTTGATTACCTCTAAGGTCACTTCCCATTCTAAACTTATGATCTTATGATAATGGTCAGGAAAATAAGGAAGAGTCAAGTCTCCAAAAATCTCAGTGCTTTGCAATCCAGAGATCTCCAAAATCCAAAGGCACTTATACAGCCTCAAACAAAAGGGAAACTAACAAAACCACCTTTTCAGAATAATGGCAATTGAGAGTACTTTCTTGTGAGGTGGGACAATTAAAATTGATTATGTCACTGTGGGTTATTAGAAGACAAAGGTGGCCAGAAGGAGAGGAGAGTGCTGGGTGAGATATAGTCGGAGTTACAGAGAGAGCTTGAGGGAAGGGACAACAACTTAAGAGGAAGTCTAAGAACCTGGGGGCCAGCAAGATGAGCTGGTGGGTGGCACTACCAGGATTGAACTTTTGAGAAAGCTTCTAAGTTGGACAGTAAGAGCAGGTTAGTAGCTCAGGAAAATTAGAGGCTAATTCAAAGAATAGTCTGTGAGTGGAAGATGAGTGAGAGTACTACTAATATGGCTGTTAGGGAATTGTGCAGTGCTGGCAGCCCTAATTAGAGAGTTTATGAAGATTGCAGCCCAAAAAACTTTGCTTCCTTAGTAACCAGAAAAGCCAAGAAAAGGGATGTTGTTTGGGCTGGTGAAGAAGAAGAGGGGAAAAAAGTGAACTATGGAATGAAATTAGAAATATTGAAGATCTATTCAGTGAATTAACCAAGTCAAGTTGTATCAATCGACAATATTGTATATCTGTTAATTCAATGCCACATTTATTAAATGCTTCTTATGTGCAAAGCATAGAGTTTAATTCTAGGGGAGAGTCCCTGTCATTATGGAGCTTGCAAATCTCTGGGTTCAGTTTTATGTTATTTGGAAAATGCAATCAAAACTGCCTCAGCAAGACCTTTTCATCATAAACTCAGTCCTTGCTGGAATACTGAATATAGGTGGTGTCAGGGACTGTACCAAGCACTGACAAGAAGAAGCTAGATAGTTGGGAAATGGGCACACAAGCTCATTCACACACACACACACACACACACACACACACACACACACACACACACACACACTACTCACTGACCTTCTTCCCCACCGCCATCCATGTTGGAAAGGGAAGCACACTGGGAAAGAGACAAAGGCATGTTGTCCACATCAGGGTAGCTTCTTCACAAACTTACAATGTTTCCAAGACTCAGAGGTACACTTAGGTCTTACTCTCCTTTTGTGTATGATCCAGACCACCAGAAACACAAAACTGGCCACCTTAAATAAATCCATCAATCCTGGTAAGCACACCAGCACCACCAACAACAACCTTTCTCCTCCTTAAACATTCCTGGTACATCCCAAGCCAGCTGCTTGGGTCCTTCTGCTATCCACAATGACCAGTGCTGAACACCAGGCTTGGTCATTACGCTACAGTTCCGGAGATGGCTCGTCACCCCGTCTATGCTCTATATACTGTGGTGAAGAATTTTTCACCCTGTCTCTCTGAGGAAGCACATGCTGTGCTCAGCAAACCACCCTGGAACAACATGGAACCAAGAGAGGAGGAAAGGATGATGACAAGGAAGCCTGGAGCAGAGAGTCTCTGGTCTCTTGCTGCACTTGTCTCCATCTCCAAATCTCCCCTCTCCCTTCACTTCGTACCTCGGATGGTGTCATCAGAAAGCGTACTCTAAAGCCTCTGAGAAATAGCACCAAGCTTCTTTCACACAGGTTACCCTCTCCCAACTTTCAGCAAGGTCATTCCTCACAAACCAGACCCCATCCCCCATCACTCGTCATCGCTGCCATTGTCTCCCTCCATAACCTCTCATTTCCTTCAAAGCCCTGCCAGCACTGCCCTTCTTAGGGACTTTTCTGGATCCTCTTCAGCTGCCAGTGCTGTCTTCTTCCTCCCAATTTTCCTGGTATTTATTTTATATATTTTCTGTATATACTCATCGACAGGAGGGTTGTTTCCCTAAGAGAATAGGAGCCCCTTGCCAGCAAGGCCAATGTCAATTTGCTCTCTGCATCCCCCACACCCAGCGCAGCACCTAGCGCGCTGTGAGCTTGACAAACATGTATTGATCGAGCAGGTGTTTGGTTGATTGGGCTCAGAGCAGCATGCAAAAGTGCACGGACAGAAAAGGGGAGGGGGAACTGAAATGCTGTGTGAGTATGATGACTAACTTGAGGC